TGTTATATTATGTTACTGTTCATGGCGTGACATTACGTCACACCCTATATAGAATTACTTAGTTTGATTTTAGAACTGATCTTGTAGTATATGGCCGTGTGTAATCACCAGTATAGGATCCAACACTAGTACCCAATAAAGCATAACATAACATGGTGGCAGCCAGGGAGTAAATATCCGAACCAATCCTCACAATGAACAAAGAAATTTCTACTTCAAGCAGCACCAGTACACAAGCCACCGTGGTCATGCAACCAGCCAACATCCAGCCGCCAACACCGCTAAGTTTCGAAGGAAACTTGGCCGAAAACTGGAAACACTTTCTCCAGGTATGGCAAAATTATTCGATCATCACGTCCCTCGATAAGCAGCCAGAAGCGTATAGAGTAGCCCTTTTTCTACATTGCATTGGCCAGGACGCGATAAAAATATACAACGGTTTCTCATTTCAAGACGCGGACGACAAAACGAAACTCGATAAGATACTAGAACAGTTCCAACAATACGCAATAGGGCAAGTCAACGAAACGTTCGAGCGGTTTAGATTCAACAGCAGAAACCAAGGAGAAGCAGAGAGCATAGATGCGTATGTCATCGATCTAAAAAACATGGCAAAAACATGTAATTTCGGTGCGTTGCATGACTCGCTTATCAGAGATAGAATCGTCTTTGGCATTTGGTGCAAGAAAACTAGACAAAAACTACTCCAGGAGCGCCAGCTTACACTAGAAAAATGCATCGATATCTGCCGCAGCTCAGAGACGGCAAACACTCGAATGAAAGCCATTGCATCGGGCCATAGCGAAGAAGTAAAACGTGTACAATCTGCCAAACATAGTCAGAAGCACACATACGAGCGGAAACAAAGGAATGATTGGAATGCCAGATCAAAAAATTCAAAGAGAGCATGTATATATTGCGGAAAACAACACGAAAGATCGAGAGAATGCTGTCCAGCATGGAGCAAGCAGTGCCAGAACTGTGGGATCAAGAACCACTTTGCTATCGTATGCCGACAGAAACAAAACACAAACAGTGTGCAAGATCAAACCGATTCTGAAGACGAAGAATTCGTCACAAGCATCTACATGGAAGAAGAACTCGTAGCTCAGATTTCAGAACCGATGTACGCCAAGGAGATATACGCAGAGATGCTGATTGACGGAGAAAAAATACAGTTCCAAATAGACTGTGGAGCATCGGTAAACATTTTGCCCAGAAAATACGTGCGCAGTCAAGAAATTCGCCCCACCAACAAAACGTTGAAGATGTGGAATGGTACCCAAGTTCGACCTATAGGGATAACGCGAGCTTCTCTACGAAACCCCAAGAATCGGAAAAGGTATTCAGTTGAGTTCATTGTGGTTGACGAGGGATTTACCCCTCTTCTCGGGGCTAGAGCGATCCAGCAGATGAAGATCATCACAGTAAATCACGAGCATTTCAATACAACAGCGGCTCCTATCAGAGACAATCAAAAGATCAGTCAGGTGAACACTGCAGAAGCCATCGTTAAAGAGTACAGCGACGTTTTCAACCGCAAATTGGGAACTCTACCTGGTTTAGTCCATCTAACAACCAAAGATGACGCCACCCCTGTCATAACCCCCACCCGCAGAGTACCGGCAACACTTAAAGAGAAGCTGAGAGATGAACTAGACAAGTATGTGAACCTAGGAGTCCTAGCCCCAGTGGAAGAGCCAACCCCTTGGGTAAGCGCCCTTGCTCTAGCGACAAAGAAGTCAGGGGCACTGAGGGTATGCATCGATCCGCGACCGTTGAACAACGTGCTTCAGCGCGAGACCTATCAGCTCCCTGTCTTGGATGATGTCCTGCCGGAACTGTCACGTGCCAGAGTATTCTCAACAGCAGATTTAAGGTCGGGATACTGGCATTGCGTACTAGACGAYGAATCAAGCCAACTAACAACATTCTCCACACCTTTTGGCCGGTACCGTTGGCTGAGGCTCCCATTTGGATTATCAGCATCCTCAGAGATATTCCAGAAACGCGTAAACCAAGCACTAGAGGGCCTGAGCGGCATCCTCGACATCGTAGATGACATCCTAATATACGGAGTGGGCAAAGATGAAAAGGAAGCCAATGAAAACCACGACAAAAACCTGAGAGCCCTACTACAGAGATGTAGAGATAAAGGCATTGCACTAAATCCAGAAAAACTCAAGCTCCGACGAAAAGAGGTTTCGTTCATGGGACACACCTTCACCAGCGAGGGACTCAARGTAGACCCAGGGAAAGCCAAAGCCATCAAAGAGATGAAGCCCCCCACCGACGTCGAAGGAATACAACGTCTTAATGGGTTCGTGAATTACCTTTCCAGATTCTTGCCACAGCTGGCTGACGTCATGGAGCCCATACGACGGCTAACGCGSAAAGAAGCCGAGTGGCAGTGGGGCAAGGAGCAGGAAGACGCATTCACTCAAGTAAAAGAGCTAGTRTCTCAAGCACCCATACTAGGTTACTACGACCCCACACTACCCTTAAGCATACAATGCGACGCAAGCCAAAAGGGACTGGGAGCAGCACTCTTGCAGAAYGGAAGACCAATAGCGTACGCGAGCAGAGCCCTCACGACCACAGAGCAGAGGTACGCCCAGATAGAAAAGGAAATGCTAGCAATAGTATTTTCCCTCGAGAAGTTCAACCAGTACACCTTYGGTCGACCAGTAATCGTTTACAGTGACCATAAGCCACTGGAATCTATCTGGAAAAAACCACTAGCAGCAGCCCCAAGGCGGCTCCAAGGGATGATGATGCGCCTACAGAAGTACACCGTCACCTTGATATACGAGCGAGGAAAAAACATGTACATAGCTGACATGCTGTCAAGAGCACCCCTCAGTACCGAAGGCAGRCTGGAAGACCGAGAGTTCGAGCACGTCAATATGGCCAGCTATCTGCCAATAGCGGAAGACAGATTGGCAGAAATCAGGAAGGAAACGCAAGAAGATCCTGCATTACAGAAGCTGAAAACGGTCATCATGCAAGGGTGGCCGGACAACAAGGAGGGTTTGCCTATCGAGGTACGTCCTTTCTTCAATACGCGCGATGAGTTCACAGTTCAAGACGGCCTCATATTCCGAGGACAGCGTGTTGTCATCCCAGTAAAGCTCCGTCAAATGATAAAGACAAAACTTCACGCATCACCTATGGGAATTGAGGCATGCCTTCGCAGGGCAAGAGAATGCGTCTACTGGCCGGGGTTCTCAGCGGAAATCAAGCAGATGATTGAATCGTGCRAGACATGCAGAATGTTCGAAACAAGCCAGCAGAGGGAACCGCTGATGTCCCATGAGGTGGCCACACGACCCTGGGAGAAAGTAGGGSTTGACCTGTTTGAGATCAAAGGTCGGGAGTACTTGATAAGAGTAGACTATTTTAGCAATTTCTGGGAAGTTGACAGTCTACCAAGCGACATRAAGTCCAAGACAATCATCACAAAGCTCAAAGGTCATTTCGCTAGGTATGGGATACCTGACCAGGTCGTCACAGATAACGGCCCTCAATTTGCTTCAAGGGAGTTCAGACAATTTGCGAACTCGTATGAGTTTGAACACACCCCCACAAGTCCATACAATAGCCGAGCAAATGGAAAAGCAGAGTCGGCGGTCAAAACAGCCAAGAGACTCATAGAAAAGACGACCAAAGCAGGCACTGACACGTTCTTAGCCATCCTTGACCACAGAAACACGCCGACGCAAGGCATGGAATCAAGCCCAGCTCAACGGCTCATGAGCAGACGCACAAAGACGCTGCTTCAAACCACGCAGGAGATGTTAAAACCCCGCACCACAGTCCCTGAGAAGGAAGTCACATCAATGATTAGGCGGCAAGAGAGGCAGGCCCAATACTACAACAGGTCAACAAAGGAGCTAGAGCCTCTCGAAGAAGGKGATGTAGTCAGGATGAAACCACTTATAGCWGGTGGCAAGGTATGGAAAAAAGCCATGGTCAAAGCCAGGCTGGATCAACGGTCTTACACGGTGGAAACGGAAGATGGAGCAGAGTACCGCAGGAACAGGGAACAAATAAAGAAGACCAAAGAACCAGCACAGTTACCAGAGACGCCAAAGACGACGACACTTCCAGCAGTGCCAGAGTTRCCAGTGACACCGAGCAAGCCAGAGTTACCAGGAACACCACGCGCACAAGAAACACCTGACATTGGAGTCCCCGACGCCACGCCAGTACGGCCACGTCGAGCGGCGAAGCCCCCAGCATGGATGAAGGACTTTGTGAGCAAATAGCTCAAACATTTAAATACACAAACATTCAGTATTTGGACATATTAYTTTGCATGACTTTGAAACCTTTAAAGGGGAGATGTTATATTATGTTACTGTTCATGGCGTGACATTACGTCACACCCTATATAGAATTACCTAGTTTGATTTCAGAACTGATCTTGTAGTATATGGCCGTGTGTAATCACCAGTATAGGATCCAACACTAATACCCAATAAAGCATAACATAACAC